TCTCCTTTGCTTCTCATGGATAGTGTGTGACCCGTGGCGTCCAACCACCCATGGCTGTTCATGGCTATCTTGATTCACTAGGTCTGCAGGAACCACGTGTGGGGTGGCCTGCATCAAGTGGAAGCAAGCCCAGCGTCTGTCCGTGGCAGAGAGGACAGATGCAGGTGGTCTATCCATATGGTGAAACACTGCTCAGTCACAGTGGCGGCCGTTGCTCAGTAACTGAGGAACACCCCACGTGTGGCTAGACCACATGTGGTTATCCATCTGCATGCCGGGGCACTTGGGCTACTGCCCGAGCTGGCTCTGCGAGTAGCATTGTGGTGAACATGCCTGAGCATCCTTGGCGGGGCACCTGTCTGCAGTCCGTCTGGGTGTCTGCCTAGGAGCACAATTGACATGCTGCGTGTGTTTTTTTTAAGCCTATTCCCTGCTTTCCCAGAGGAGCCCTGGCAGCATAGTGGTTACCTGATGGCCTGAAACCCGCGAGGTCAGCAGTTCAAAGCCACCAACCAGTCCTTGGGAGAAAGACGAAGCTTTCTCGTCCTGTCAAGAGCTACAGTCTCTGAAAGCCACGGGGGCAGTTCTACCCGGCCCTCTAGGGTTGCTATGAGTTGGCATCCAAGCGACGGCAGTGAGCGTGTTCCTGGAGGTTTGGTCTCCCTGCCCTTTCCTAGACCATGTGTCCCACCCTGTCCGTGCCCCAGGCCATTTCTGCTCCTGCTGGCTGTCACGAGCCCGTCTGGTTGCTGTGGGAGGACCTCGGAGAGAGGGGCATTTCATTCTAGACCTCCCCAAATAAATTGAGTAACCCCATCAAGCAAGCCACACGGGTTTGTTTGGTTTTCCATTGTGCGCCTAAGTTGTGTCTACTCTGTCCTGCAGTCTGTGAAGTGTGCGTTGCCCGGGGGCAAGTGTGGAAGGCTGGGAGAATTGACCACAGTGTGGCTCACATGTGACCTGGTCCTGGGGACCCTTTGACAGAGAGGCGCTGCTTCTCGGCCTCATCCCAGGCAGACAGAGCCATGTGCTGCTGGACAATGGTCACAGCAGGCTTGCTCACCACAGGGCTGCCGCCGACCTTCCATTGGTCAAGAACGGGGCGTTTGGGAAGCTCGAAGCTCCACAAAGCCCACACAAAGCAGGGTCTGCCTGCCTGGCTTTCTGAGCAGCTCCATCTTGGCATTGGCCATCTCTAAGGACTGACCCCAAAGTCCTCCTCCCACCCTGCCAGGTAGATGAGTAGCAAGTCCCCTGTGCCTAGCCCTAGGCTCCCCTAGCTCTGGAGTCATTGTCTTAGTAGGTCTCTGTCCTCAACACCCAGGAACTCCCAGAAGCCCTCCCTGGGCCCTGCTTGGGTCCCCAGAGCTGCCCCCCTGGCTCAGGTGTGGGGAGCAGCACCAAGCAAAATTGTCCAGAAGCCCACAGGGAGTGGGTTCCCATCTTCCCAAGCACTTCCCATAACTCTGCAGACATTCAGACCTGCACTTCCCAAGGCCACAGATCCAAACCGATGGGGCATCTTACCACCAGCCCTAGGGTTGGATGCCACGAGCGACCGCTTCCCTCTCTGCCCGGCAGCTCAAAGGGCAGGACGCTTGTTCTTCTGAAGCAGATGGATCAGCCCTGCCTGCAGGTCTCTGCAGGAAGCACTCTGAGGGGCTTGCCAGAGTCACGCCCCTTGTCACCTGTAGTGTCTCTGGTAGCTGGCTTTCAGAAGTAGATCTTTTGGCCTGTCTTCGGAATTGACTCAGGGTAGCCCCACCTCCAGCCTAGCCCAGCAGCCGACTCATGTGCTATACGTGCGAGCTGTCCTCAGGTGAGACCTGACTCAAAGGGGCCCTATGGCCCTCCCGGAGGTCGCCGTGCTGAGCCCATCCTTGCAGCCGCTGTATTGATCCATCTCTGTGAATTTCTTCCTTTTTTCACTGCCCTTCGACTTCCCTGAGCACCGGGTCCCATTCCAGGGACTGATCTCCGCGGTGAGAGGAAGTCTTCTCATCCTGGATTCTGAGGAGCCTGGGGCTAGACGTCTTCCAAGTCTGATCTGTCTCATCTTCTGCCGGTCCCAGGGATTTTCAATGCGCGTCATCGTGCAACGAGATCGATTCTTCTTCCATCTTCTTCACTCAGTGTCCAACTCTCACCTGCACAGGAGGCGATGGAAAATACAGTGTCCAACTCTCACCTGCACAGGAGGCAATGGAAAATACCATGGCTCGATCCAGGTGCCCCTTAGTCCTCCCAGTAACATGCTGGCTTTTCAATGCTCTGGAGAGGTCTTGTGCAGTAGAGTTTCCCAGTGCAGTAGGCAAGTGATTTCTTGACTGCTGCCTCTATGAGCATTAATCCAACAACTCAACTCAACTCAACCCACTGCCATTGACTCGAGGCCAACTCACAGCAACCCTACAGGACAAGGAGAACTGCCCTCTGGGTTTCCATGACTGTAACGCCCCAGGAGCAGCTGGTGGTTTCAAACTGCTGACCTTGAGCGTAGCAGCCCGTGTGTAACCACTAGGTCACCAGGGCCCCTTGAGCATTGGCTCATGCCCCCTTATCCTTACAGGGTGCCTGGAATGATGAATCACACTGAACTCTGTATGCCATGCTCTTTCCTGTGTGCTCCTATAACAGGTGCCCCGGGGTGCCCTGGGCACATAGCCTTCACCCATCAGATGCCAGCAGGGCATGGCACAGGCATTCATTCACCCAACTGTGCTTTCTAAACTCTTGCCCAGTAGAAGAGGTGGGAGCCAGCTCAGGGAGGATCAGGGTCCCATCACGCTGCTCACAGGGGTGCACGGTTGAAATAGTGTCTGAGCCGTGATGACCCTGGGTAACTGCAATCCTGGAAAGCAAGCCCAGGGGAAGAGGGGAGGTGACAGTTTCTCAGTAAGCCTGCCATGCTGTGTGGTGCCCTTCTGGCTTTGCTCTAACAGTGCCCTCGCGTCCAAAGAAAGAACTGTGGCCCGTTTCCTCTCTGCCACCATAGAGGGGCTCGCATCAGTTATTGTCACCCCTGTGCGTGTGGAGTGGCCTCTGATGTGAGGGGCCCACCTTCTGGCACGTGATCGGAAAACAGTTTATGGTCACCAGTAGGGTTTTCATGGGTGCCTTTGCAGGAGGCTGTCTGAGACTGGAAGCTCAGCAGACACCTGTGTGCCGTGCTGGTGTTTGGCGTAGCGGTGACCTAACTTCCAGCGTCGCACTACCCAACAAGCCCCCACGTGGTGGCAGGTGGGCAGGTGGAGGCTGAGTGAAGAGTGGGCTGTGGGCTGTGGGCAGTTGTCCCCATTGGGGACTGAAGCCGTTGGATGTGAGCTGCTCCCGGGGGCCCTTGGACAGGGAGGCACTGCTTCTCTGCTCAGAGCATCATCTGGGCAGAGAGTGGGCTGGAGATGCGCTGGCCGCCAATTGCTCTCAGTTCTTGTCACACCCGTGCCCCTTGGGTGGTTGCGTGGGGGGATGTGTGTCCCTGGGTGCCATGCGCTGGGCAAGGCTTTGCTACAAAGCCTGAGATGCTGTGTATTCTTCTCCTCAGGTGACGGCGACGTTGTAAATAACATGTACGAGCCCGACCCGGACCTCTTGACCGGAGAGAGTGCGGGGGACGAGACAGAAGACAGCATCATGTCCCCAATCCCCATGGGGCCGCCCTCCCCGTTCCCCACCAGCGAGGACTTCACCCCCAAGGAGGGCTCACCCTACGAGGCCCCTGTCTACATCCCCGAGGACATCCCCATCCCTCCGGACTTCGAGCTCCGAGAGTCCTCCATCCCTGGGGCCGGGCTGGGCATCTGGGCCAAGAAGAAGATGGAAGTTGGGGAGCGGTTCGGCCCGTACATGGTGGCACCCCAGCCCACGCTGAAGGAGACGGACTTTGGATGGGAGGTGAGCATTGTGCGTCGCCGCTGCCGGGCATGCTCGATCACCCACACCCAGCCATTTATCTCCGGTGTCATCTATTTATAAAGCAGGCCCAGCAGCCGCTGCCCCGGGGCGGGCGCCCAGTCGGTCGGTCGGTTGGAGAGAGCATCGGAATGCCACGTTTCCCAGGCTTATTTTATCCCGTAGCTTACATTACGAGACTCAGAAAACATTGGCGGTCCTGGCGGACGCCCCGCTACCCCCAGGCTGCGCCGTCCGGCTCTCTTCCTGGAAATGTGTCTTTAATGAGCTCATGTCTTCAGCCATCCCTGCTGCCTGCCTTGGGGACCTGATGTGCTAGGATGGCAGTGGCGGGGGAGGGGGGGGTAGGGATGGGGGGGGGAGGGCGGGGGGGGGGTAGGGGGGGGTGGGGGTTGGGGGGAGGGGGTGGCGGGGAGAGAGAGCAGATGGTCTGGGAACATGGGGCAAGTCTCCGGGAACAGGGTCTGCCTCTGGGTTTCCATTCCAGGCCTGAGCCACATGGGGCTGCTTCTAGAACATTCCTGTGGATGTTCTGCCTAGGGCACAAGGTTTGCTAAGAGGTTTCCATAGACCCCCGGAGCGGCCCTTTGAGGATTTGTGTGAGGAGCAAGCCCACATCATGCAGGACAAGGTGGAACTGCCCCTGTGGGTTTCCCATGCTGAGAATCTTTACCGGAGCATAAAGCCTCAGCATTCTCCTGTGGAGCAGCTGGTGGATTTGAACTGCTGACCTGGTGGTTAGCAGCCCAACACATGACCCAGAATGCCACCCGGGCTCCTCCTGCTGCTTAGATTCCCCTAATGAGTCCTGGTGGTCTAGATGGTTCTGGGACCCCTGTGGCTGGTTGACTTGCCCGGTGGTGGGGCGGGGGCGGGGGCGGAGTGGGGTGAGACTGGAAGAGGAGGCCCATGAGGTGAGAGGTGATGATGTGTCCCCAGAACTCCCCCACCTGGACGGCGCTAAGCTGCACTCACAACACTCCAGATCCAGCCGTGCTGGATGCTCTGCACCAACTCCCTGGCCTCTGAGAGTCCTGGGCCTGAGAGGCCCCCACAATCATGCCTCCTCACTGGACTGGCCTTTTTACTGAGCCCACACAGCCGAGGTTTGGGGCAGGACTCAGCCTAGGTTCAAAAGGTAGAACCCAACCCAGCTTCCTTCTGGGCCTGTTTCACAACCTTCAGAAGGGCTGGGGTGGAGGTCAGTCCCAGGAAGGAACAAAAGTCCCCGGGAGGGGAGAGGAGCCAGGGGCCCGAGCAGTGAGCATCGGGGTCAGGGCAGCCATCCTGAATCTGGCCTGGTCACCTCTCCCAACCATTGGGTGGTTGTGGGGAGAGCCCTCAAACTGTGCTGCGCGCCAGTGTCAGGAAGAAAGGCAGGCCTGTCTTCCACCTGCCTCATTGTGCTTCACGACTTGCCCCTTTGGCGCCTGCACAGTGCTGGAGATACGTTGTGCGCTCTGGCCTTCCTCTGTGGGAACTTGGAGGCCCAGAGACCCCCCAGCAGCCCTTGAGCATCCCCACAAGCCCCTCCCAAGGCCATCAGGAAGGGCTGATATGCTAATGCCTGAGTCAGATGGAGCCAGGAAGCTGCCAGTCTCCGCAGAGCTAGGGCTATCCCTCCCTCCAAGGAGGCATGGTGGGGTTCCCGGCAGACCTGTTCCCCGGGTCCCTGAGGGGCAGAATCCTCTGGACTTACCCTGGTGGGACCCAGGGGCACCTAAGGCTCCTGGGCAGTGTACACTGAGAGAACCAGGAGCTCCCGGCTTCCATGCCCAGGCTCAGCCACCGTGGGCTCAAAGTGCTAGCTGGGCATCAGGCAGATGACCCAGTTGGCCAAGGGGACTGATGGATGGGCTGGTGGGAGTTCTAGAGAGTCCCGCAAGGTGGGCGTCACAGCTCAACAAACAGACATGTGCAAGTTGAGGGTCACCTTGAGAGCAGAGTGACTGAAGTGGGGTGGGTTGGGGGAGGGGGTGCTGCTGGGGAAGGTTGTCCAGCCACAGCCCATCTGGGGCATGTTGCCCCTCTTTTATGGCCCATAGGGTGGCTCCAGATGGACCGGAGGAAAGCATTTTTCAAAGACTGTGACAGCTAAGTGTGTTTGACTGGGAGAAATGGAATTGACTTTGCAGAGGCAGCCTGTCTGCCCCCCACCCTCCACCCCCCACCCCACCCCCCTCCGCTGGTTGTGCAGCAGGAGAACTCAAGGGCGTGTGTGCATCTGGGCCTCTGAAATGCCCGGGACCATCTCATCTGGAGGGCACTTCCAGGGTGAAAGAGCAAAGGGCCCTCCAGGTGGCACCAGCGGTGACCTTGGGCTGACTCTGCCCTGGCCTCTCTGATACATGGTCCTGTTTGCCTTTTTAAAAAGAAAGGGTCCCTATCTCTGGTGCTGGTCAGTGCCAGGCCTGGTGCGGGCAGGCTGGGGCCGTTATCTGCCTTGCTGTTGACTTTGCAGGAGTATTGATTTCCCGAGTGCCTGCAGGGCGAGCCTGGGGTTCGGCAGCGGGCTTTGTCCCCCGAGCAAGGCCCAGTGGCCACCTTTCAGGCCAGCCCTCGGGAATATTTGCCCTCCAGGGGCGCTGCAGAGGTGCGCTGTTATCTCATCAGGCTGTGCATCCTTCTTGCGCTCACTGCTGCCTTTGGGTCCACCTTTGGCCTTTGTTCACCTCCCACCAGCCACCGGGGCTGGGAGCCACCAGGGCTGGGAGCCACCCCTCAGGAAGGAGCCAAGGAGGAAGCAGACACCCCCAAACTTGGTTGAATCCACATTTGGGTGGAGTGAGTTGAGGTGTGGTCTTTCAGGAAAAGCAATTTGCTTGTACGGCTGCCTTCGAAGGAGTCTTCCAGAAACAGATGCCCGCTGCTGGGCTGTGGTGGCCTGCCCCCCTTCCTTGCTGTGGAAAGGCAGGGTAGGGGGCGAGTGGGCTCACTGTAACCCCCTTCTCAGCCAGCAGCAGCCTTGGTCTCCTGCCAGTGGGTCTGAACTTCTTAACACTGCAGACCTGGCCTTCAGATTAGGAGGGGCCAGTGCAGGACAGCCCTCCAATCCCTTGGTCTTCAGCGGGCACCCAGGCAGGCTCGGGGACACCTATTGGCCCCTTAACACAAACAAGGTGGGCCTAGCCAGCCCGGCCATTACTGCCTGTGTTTCAGTGAAGATGCCCTCTACTCCCACCTCCACGTGCAATGGCCCACTTCCCTCCAGGCAGCCCTGGTGCAGGACACCCCAGCCCACAGTACAAGGAACCACTGCCCGGGCCCGTACCCTTCCCACGTGGACTGGCGGCCACACTGTGGAGAACCACGGCTCTCCTGGGCTGATCCCCAGTCCCGTCTTCCCAGTCTGCGCTAGTCTGGAAGCTCGCTGAAACCTCTCCAGCTTCCACGAAGAGACAGTGAGGCACCTGGGTTGGGCATCACACCTGGGCCTCCCAGGTGGAAGATGGAAATTCGACCGCAGGACCACCGCTGTCTGGAAGCAGACTTTAAAAACAAATCAGTGAACTCACTGCACGGAGACAGTCCTGACTCACCGTGACCTGGCAAGCAGGGTAGAGGAGAACTGCCCCATGGGTTAGCAAGCGTGTCACTCTGGATGGGAACAGAGAGCCCCGTCTTTCTCCAGCAGAGCGGCTGGTGGGTTCAAACTGCTGTCCTTGCCATTCGCAGCCCAAAGCATGAGCCACGATGCCCCAGACCTCCTCAAGGAAACCCCTCATGTGCTTACTCCCCCCCACGGAGTCGATGCTGACTCACAGCGACTCTGCAGGACAGGGTAGAAGTGTCCCCGTGGGTTTCTGAGAATGTCATTTTTATGGGAGTAGAAAGCTTCATTTTTTTCCCTAGAGTGGCTAGTGGTTTCAAACCTCCGACCTCGTGGCCAATAGCTCCATTGCATAACCACGGAAATACAGGTGTTCCCCCGCGTACCATCGGGTTCTGATTCAATGGCTCTGTCCTATGTCTGTTCTGATGTCTGTCAAAAAATCTCTTCTTCTTTTGCTTCATTTTGGTATTGTTGCCTTTATTATTATCAATAGTTCTGACCTTTATTGGCCTTGGGGGTTTGGAGACATTACACATAAACTTACAGGTCTAGTTCAATGTATACATTCATTTGACAACACACACACACACACACGCACGCACACACACACAAACAGGCCCATAAGGACATGGAAGACCTTGGTATTTTGTCAATTGTGCTCATAACTCCACTTGGGGAGGGTCCTGGATCATCTGGATTAATCCTGGGGATAGAGATGCACTCTCTTGTCAGAAAATTCACGAAGGTGCTCTGTACAGCCCAATTATACAGTGCTGCCTTATAAGGAGTACATAGTATTAAGATATACCAAAGAGATATTAAAAAAACAACCTCCTAGGTGCAGTTCTTCATGGACCGGAATCTGTTGTAAGTTGGGGGACCACCTGTTACAAAGCAGAGTGCCCGTGGGCTGATGCGGAGGCCACCTTGGAGACTGCTGGGGGCCAGGCCTGCTCAGGGCCAGCCCACGAGCAAGTGCTGGTATGATCTTACAACATAGATGCAGGTAGGCATCGCTGACTGTCCACTCGTTCTGTGAAATAGGGTAGCATGTGGCGTGGGCGTGGTTTGAACACAACATTATGCACAGGTCATCTCTGTACACCCTGTAGTGATGCCGGCGTAAAGCCTACCCTACTCAAGCCTTTTGGGAACGTCTTGGACTGGGTACACTAGGTACAGAGGCCGGCTGGGCTGGGTCAGGGCTGCGCCTCCAATTGGATTGGCACTTTGCACTGCTCTGGGCATGGGAGGTAGGGGCTGCAGGGGGGCGCAGAGAGGTAGTTGCGGGGATTCGGTGGGGAGTGGGTACTGGGTGCTGGGAGTGCAGCTGGCGGCGGTGGCCCTGGCTCCCTGTTTGGTGCATCTGTTTCCTGGTCACGTGCAGCAGGGAGTTTGCGAGGGCCCAGGTCTGGCAGGTGCCACAGCA